CAGCCCGCGGGCTCAGGCAATCCACTCACCTCAGCCTCCCAAAGGCGTGGGATTACAGGCTGAGCCACCGAGCCTGGCTATCAAGCAGTTCGCTTACCTCAGCCTCCCAAAGTGCTGGGATTACAGGCGTGAACCACTGCACCCAGTTTTTTGTTTTTGGGTTTTTTTGAGTTGGAGTCTCACTCTGTCACCCAGACTGGAGTGCAGTGGCACGCTCCTGGCCACTGCAGCCTCAACCTGCTGGGCTCTGGTGATCCTTCCACCTCAGCCTTCCACGTAGCTGGAATTACAGACGTGCGCTACTACGCCCGGCTAGAGTTTTTTAATTCATGTTTTTAGAGACAGGGTCTCACTATGTTGCCCAGGCTAGCCTTGAACTCCTGGGCTCAGGTGATCCTCCCACGTCAGCATCCCGAGTAGCTGGAACTACGGTCATGTACCACCACACCAGGCTCAACTTTGACGTTTTCTTGTGGTGGATCACCTCATCCTGGGGACTTTGTTCTTGATATCTTTCCTTTTGGGAAGGCAGGTGCTGCTCTGGATCTCAATTTGATTCAAGTGATGACTACCCCTTGGGTACCGTTGAGACCAGATACCAGACCACCAATTGGATATTGCTTTTTCCTGCTTATTCTCTCATTTGCTTTTGGGTTTAAGGATGTCTGGGGGATACAGATTTCTGGGCTCATTTATTTTTCTGAGAAGTCATATAATTCCCTAGTTTTGGCTTGGAGGCTGGTCCTTGCATAGCTTAACAGTGCTTTTGCCTAGACTGTCCCCTAGGACTTGAAATTGAAACAGAAACAGAACAGCACCTGGTCCTTAGTTACACTGCAAAGCAGGGCCCCAGCAAGGGTAAATCGAATTACTTTTTATTTTATTTTATTTTATTTTTTGAGTTGGAGTCTCACTCTGTCGCCCAGACTGGAGTGCAGTGGCACGCTCCCAGCCACCGTAGCCTCGACCTGCTGGGCTCTGGCGATCCTTCCCGTCTCCGCCTTCCAGGTTGCTGAAACTACAGGCGTGCACTGCCGCGCCCGGCTAATTTTTTGATTTATTGTAGAGATGAGGTCTCGCCAAAGTGCCCAGGCAGGTCTTGAATCCCCGGGTTCAGGCAATCCACTCACCTCAGCCTCCCAAAGTGCGGAATTACAGGCTGAGCCACCGAGCCTGGCTTTGAATTACTGTCTTTTTTTTTTTTTGAGTTGGAATCTCACTCTTGTCACCCAGACTGGAGTGCAGTGGCCACTCCTGGCCACCGCAGCCTCGACCTGCTGGGCTCCGGCGATCCTTCTGCCTCAGTTTTCCGAGTAGCCGGAATTACAGGCGTGCGCTACGATGCCTGGCTGATTTTTTGATTTATTGTAGAGATGAGGTCTTGCTGCCCAGGTGGGTCTTGAACCCGCGGGCTCAGGCAGTCCACTCACCTCAGCCTCCCAAAGGCGTGGGATTACAGGCTGAGCCACTGAGCCCGGCTGAATTACTTTCATTTAAGGTGAAAAAGCATCTGGCTTCTTCCACTTCAGCACCTTTGGATTTTCTGAGAATGGTGGGTGAAAGAATAGCGTCTGGAGGTGACTCCTACTTATTGTTAGTTGAGTTACTCTCTCTGAACCCTGGTTCCTCCATGTGCAAAATGGTTATATAATAGTACTGTCTTAAGACTCTCCAGGAAGCTAACCTATGAGAATAACTAGAGCATCTAGCCCAGGTCCTCATACCTGGAGGGTGTTGTTTTGTTTGAGTCAGAGTCTCATTCTTGTCACCCAGACTGGAGTGCAGTGGCACGCTCAGGGCCACCATAGCCTGGACCTACTGGGCTGAGGCGAGTCTTCTCAGTGGCTGGAGTTCCAAGTGGCTGGAACTATAGGCATGCACCACCACGCCCTACTAATTTTTCTTAGTTTATTGTAGAGACGAGGTCTCTCTGGGTTGCCCAGATTGGTCTTGAACCTTTGGGCTCAGGCAATCCTCTCCTCCTCCTCCCAAAGTGCTGGGATAACAGACATGAGCCAGCACACCCGGCCCCTGGAAGGCGTCAAATACAGGTTAGCTTCTTCCATAGATGCCCATCCAAAAATGCATATATGAGGTAGCGGGGGACTGAACTATACGACCTCTTAACTTCTTCCCAGTTCTTAGCTTTTGGGGGTCAGTGACAGTAATTCATGTGTTATTAATAATAGCTAAGATTTGATCATCAACATGTCAAGTTGTCATTTATTATTTATACCTCCTTGGGCAAATGCTATAACTTAAGTCTTAATTTTCTTCATTCTTAAAATGGGATAGAAGAGTACCTACCTCATAACATTACTACAAGGTTTTAATGAGATGGCAGTGTGCCGGGCACACAGTACATAGTAAGTGTTCAGTACTTCACTGTTAGGCAGCCAGGTTAGGTATTGGTTTGCTTACTATTCTGGCACTTATTTTTTTCTTTTACTCTATTTGCTCACATTTCAGGGTGAAACTTCCTACATCCGAGTTTATCCTGAGAGAAGCACCAGCTATGGCTACTCACGGTCCCGGTCTGGGTCAAGGGGCCGTGATTCTCCATACCAAAGCAGGGGTTCCCCACACTACTTCTCTCCTTTCAGGCCCTACTGAAACAGGTGATGGGAATTTTTTCTTTATTTTTTAGGTGAACTGAGCTGCTTTGTGCTCAGAATCTACATTCCAGATGATTTAGTGTCTTAGGAAATTTTTTTAATTTTTTTTTTTTAAAGGAGAAAAAAACTACATAATTTCTACCGGGGCCATATTAGCAGTGAAACATTTTAAACTGCAGGAATTGTGGTTTTGGTTCAGAAACAAGTTGTATATTTTACACCCCTGATTATGGGAAAAAAAATCAGTGCTGTGTCTTTGTGGGTTGCTCTGCTATGGAGATCAGCAGTTACTGTGACTGAGTTGGCCCATTCTGTTTAGAAATATATTTTAAATGTTTAGTAATTGATATGTGTGGTTGTCCTTGATTAAGTTCTTAGATTTCACCAAATAGGCACACTAATTAAAAAAAAAATCATTGAGTTGTAGTTGCAACTTATACCTAGTTGGTAAGAAGCAGGAGTGAATAACCTTAATTATTTGGGGATAAAGATAGTTGCTCTGATATTATTTTGAAAACTTCAATCCCAAAGGCAGATTCAAGGTTCTCTTGTAATTCAAGGCCAAGCTTGTAAATTATCTGCCTTAAAGAAAAAACGAGCATTGCGGATAAAGGAAGGGAATGGGAAGGATAAATACAGGCTTTTAAAAATGAGCAGCAGCACAAAGATCACTGGGAAATTCTTAGCCAGAACCAACTTTGGTAGTTTGGCTAGAGAAAAAAAAAATCTCTAAGGTCTGCTTTTATCACTTTTATCCTTAAATAGGTTTTATCCTTGATAGCTGAGCTTTTAAAAAAACAAAAAACCTACAATCCTGGATTCATCTTAATTCCACTAATCATTCTGGGACTAGAAAGGGCTATTAAATAGCTTAAAAAGCTATTTTTATTATAAGTTCTTTTCTCAGAAACACTAGGTGTTTTGCACATAATCACTTTGTGGGATGGCATATGGCTCTAATTTTGAGTTCCCAAGCTGTAGTCCACTTATGCTCTTCAGACCTTAGCAGAATTTAGCCCTCTTCTACAAAGTGGGTACCCATGAACATATTTAGGTATGGTCAGTAAAGATAGGGCTGCTGAACTCAATGGAAATAGCTAAAAATGACAATGTGATTAGCTGCTCTGTCTACCAGTTATGTAAACAGAAAAAATTCACTTTTCTGTTTGGTAAACAGTCTTTTGGGGGCAAGTTAAAGGAGTATATGCTTTCCATACTGAACAGCCTGTTAAGTGAACACTTGATCCATTTCCTTGGAAGCTGGCTTTTGCTCTTTCCTTTTATTTCCATCAGCATCAGGAATTCATTGCCTTGTTTTGGCTAGATGTTACCCAATTTTTGTCTTCAGAAGAGTCAGTTGCTATGAAGAAATGCTTAAGCATCCATTTTTTCAGGTAACTGAAAGAAGGAGGAACTTCAGTATTCATAGTAACAAAATACTGTCATTGCACATTACATGTGTTCACAGGATGCTCCCTTCCCAGAATAGTTACTCAGCTGTCTGGAAAGGGCTCTTGTTCATCCAGCTTTGGCAAAGAAATGTTACCTGTTTGAAAACAACAATGAAAAAGAATGTTATAGCTGAGCCTACTGTCCAACTGGCTATAGTGAGCTAACTGATCAGTTGGTTTGTCATGGAAGATAAGCAACAGAAATAAGCATAGCTACTGTCTTGTTTTTCTAACCATCTGAAAGAATCTCAGTTATAAGTGAAGCCAAGTTAATGCACAACTTTCAGTAAGGAGTAGACAGTTTAATCAGCTATTTGGATGCAGAGAGGAGTGGAAGGAAAGGTTATGAACTCAGTTTGTCCCAAGAAGCAAAGTCTGAAGTAAGGTTCTATTTGGGAGATAGCATATATGATCAATAGACATGTCTGCTGAGGCAGCATATCAGGCTCTAAGGTGGAGAGATTATTGCGGTAGTTTAGTGATTCCAGAGGCACGTTTAAGTGTTTAGCTGACAAGTTTTCTAGCTTTCTTCTCCATCCTTGCTTCAACCAGAGCTTTCCTTTAACTGTTTGTTTTGACCAAAGAGGTACCCCCTAGCTGACTAGGGCCAATGTTTTATATGGAACCTACTCAGAATGTTCTCCTCCAGGGGATACTTTGAACTGGAAGTTGGCACTTGGAAAGCAGTCTACCTGAGAGTTTTGTCTAGTCCCATTACCAGATGCTCAGCGGAGTACAGCAGCTCTGAGTACTTACCCTCTGCAGAGGAGATATAAACAGTCAACCAACCCATGTGCTCTGGATTTTATTACTGGCCCACGGTTATCTTAAAGCTTCAATTTAAAGAATTTACAGTAAGGTTAAAGATTCAAATCTCTGTACCAGGGTTTGCAAATTGATGGCTCACAGGCTGCAACCTGGCCTGCAGGTATGTTTTATTTGGCCTGCATGGCATTTTATTTTTTTAACTTTGAATTGGTTGCCAACATCAAGTTTGGGGACTACCACATAGAATGCCAGATATCCATGGTACCTGGGAAAATGGGCTCATATTTCCTTCCTGGCACTGAATGAGAAGCAGTGAATGCCAGCTGCTTCTTTAGGCAGTTTGAGTTCCAGATTTGTAACCCACTGCACATCCCCCTTCCCCAGTCCTCTTTTGCTTGTTCCTGTTACTGACTGGCCCACAAAGGTAAGTATGACCAGACTCTACTGCCACCTGTGTCACCATCTGTATGTACTTTATCCTTTTCAAAGTGCCTTCACACAGCACCTTTGGTCTTCACAGTTCCTGCTTCATTCCTTAGGTCACTGCAAGACTCTGTTAAACCACTCTGGGCATCACGTACCTGGGGGGGCCACAAAATACTCCTCCATGACATGATGGGAGTTTTGTAGTAGTTCTTCAACACAGTTGCCTTCTACTACGTTGTCAGATCTCAAGTATAGACATCTACAAAACCCAAAAGCTCAGTTACTCTCTCAGAGAATGGGCTTTTAGGGCATGGTGGAGAGGGTCAAGAATGAGAGAACAAGAGAGCATCGTATTCTTGAGTTATGGGCACTGCTAAAGATAGAGAAGCTGGAGTCAACAGTAGGCCACGTAACAGTCTACAGTTTATAGATTCTCCCAACAACCCTGTGAGGTTAAGTGCTAATTATTTTTCGAGATTGATATGTCCAACAAATATTTTTGGATGGTTACTAAGAGCAACTTACTTTTGGTAGGGACAGGTAAAAACCATCACAAAACAAAATGTTAAATCTAACAAAAGCAAGCAAAGCCTGCCAAGGGAATACAGAGGGCATTCCCTGGTCATTTCAGCCTGGGTGAAAAGCACACACTCAGAATAGGTGATATTGCTAAAGGATAGGCAAGAAATAGCTGGATGGGAGGAGATGAGAAATGAACTTGGCAGGTATAGCAGCGTGAATCTCAAAGCAAGAGAGCTCAGAAAATTAAGAGAAGAGCAGGGAGTTTAGCAGGCTTCAGTGTGGCCTGGGGTAGAAAAGCTAGAAACCTAAGCAGAGATGGAAGAGGATATTTGCTCAAGAGTGACTAGCTTATGGATATTGGCTCCTAAATGACAAAACTGGGATCTGAGCCCACTCTGGTACCCCTAAGATGAGTGCTTTTTCTACCACATCCACCTTAGTGGATGTAAAAGTACCAGCCCTTGAGCAAGATGTACGACAAACACAGCTCAAGAATCTCCCAGTGTTCTCTGGCCTAGTGGCTTTAATTAACTTGGTGAAACCATACAGGAACTTGAACATATGTATGAAGCTTCACTATTGTTTTAAGGTATAAAAAGTATGACAGGATGTCTAAGCCTGCTTCTAGATACGCAGCCTAAAAAAATAGGCAGTCTGTTAAATCACTGATAGGGGAGCAGCTAAGTTTCTTATGCTCTGAATAGGCACAGACTGAGAACAAACCCTAGTGGGTCCTGAGTCATGTCACCGGGGCAAGGATGTGACATAAATATCTGGGCAAAGGCTACACATAAGGGCTAGGCTATCACGTAAGATTGTTTTAGGAAAGGACTAGTTCTGAATCTTGTGGCAGCCAGCCCAGAGCTAGACACAACAAATATTAAGGGTGTAAAGAATGGAGACCTGCCGGGCTCGGTGGCTCAGCCTGTAATCCCGCGCCTTGGGTGCCTGAGCCCACGTGTTCGAGACCCGCCTGGGCAACTTCGTGAGACCTCATCTCTACAATAAATCAAAAAATTAGCCGGGCGTGGTAATGCACGCCTGTAGTTCCAGCTACTTGGAAGGCTGAGGCGGAAGGATCACCGGAGCCCAGTAGGGCAACAGTGAGACTCCAACTCAGAAAAAACAAAAACAAAGAATGGAGACCTGAAGTCTCTTCCAGGACCCTGGTACTATCTTAACTGTGACTCTGAACAAGTATGATCTCTTCAGACTTTGCATTTCTTGTCAAAAAAGTGAGGGTTGGCTGGGCGTGGTGGCTCATACCTATAATTCCAGCACTTTGAGAGCTGGGGTGGGAGAACTGCTTAAACCCAGGAGTTCAAGACAAGCCTGGGCAACATAGCAAGACCTTATCTCTATGAGTGTGGTGATTTTTGCCTGTAGTCCCAGCTACTTGGGAGGCTGAGGTGGAAGGATCACTTGAGCCCAGCAGGTTGAGGTGCCGTGCCTGTGAATGTGCCACTGCACTCCAGCATGGGTTACAGTGAGACCCTAACTCAAAAAAAAAGGTTGCACTCGATTTTTTAAACCACATTAGAGTTATGTATTCATTTAAGAAAACTTGAAAGAACAAAAATAAAATAAAAATCATCCATAATTGTACCAAGGGTAATTAATTATTGGCCTTAAGTTTTTATTTTCTGTTGGACAATTAACAAAATTGTTAAGAGCTTAGGCTCCTGAGTCACAACTGGATCCAGATCCCAGTACCACACTATTTATCCTCTCCTTATTTCAGTTTCATTATTTGTTAAATGCTTCATAGGACTGCTGAGAAGATTAAGTGAAATACTGTTAAAAACTAAGATCTGATCATGCTAACTAAGCCTGTGCTCTCATAGCAGTAAGAAGTGGGTGATGAGTGGTACCTGCTCCTTTCAGAAAGAGTTCCGGCACCCCAGTACACCTCAGTTCCCACCACTCATTCAGAGTCTATCTACGCACTTAGCTTGTAATTGGGCATAACCTAGCTAGTATTTGACATTTGAAGATGTTGAGACGGTGACTACTACCAGTAGATAGTTAAAACCTATTGCTTCTCATTGAGGCTCGGTGGCTCAGCCTATAATCCTAGTACTTTGGGAGGCCGAGGCGAGTGGATTGCCTGAGCCTGTGGGTTCAACTTGGTGAGACCTTGTCTCTACAATAAATCAAAAACTAGCCAAGCATGGTAGGGCATGCCTATGGTTCTGGTTACTTGGAAGGCTGAGGCGGAAGGACTGCCAGAGCCCAACAGATTGATGCTGGGGTGGCTGAGTGTGCCACTGCACTCCAGCCTGGGCAACAGTGAGACTCCAACTCAAAAGAAAAAAAAAAAAAAAAAGCAAAACTATTGCTTCTCAACAGATATAATAGCAACTAATCTATTCACTTGTTTGGTAATCAGATTTCCTATGTAAATGAAATTTCCAGAAAAACAAAATTCACTTAAAATACACATTTTCACTTAATTACTATTTACATTAAAGTCAATCCTAACATAGACTCACACTTTATATTTTTAACCTTTTCTTTTTAGATAAGAGGTTCACTATGTTGCCTAAACTGGTCTTGGAACTTCTGGGCTTAAGTGATCCTCCTGTCTCAGCCTCCCAAGTAGCTGCGATTATAGGCATGCACCATTGCACCTGGCTTTTTCTTTTTCTTTTTTTTTGAGTTGGAGTCTCACTCTGTCACTGAGACTGGAGTGCAGTGGCCGCTCTTGGCCACCGCAGCCTCGACCTGCTGGGCTCCAGCGATCCTTCCACCTCAGCCTTCCAAGTAGCTGGAACTACAGGTGCGTGCTACTACACCTGGCTAATTTTTGATTTATTGTAGAAATGAGGTCTCGCCAAGTTGCCCAGGCGGGTCTCGAACCGTGGGCTCAGACAATCCACTCACCTCGGCCTCCCAAAGTGCTGGGATTACAGGCTGAGCCACTGAGCCCGGCTGGCTTTATTTTCGTAATCATACGCTACTGAACCCAAGGTCTATGTGGTAGTGATACACCAAAGCATACCTTTAACTTTCCTGGACTTCAGAATTATGTATAAAACACCGAACAGGCCGGGCTCGGTGGCTCAGTCTGTAATCTCGTGCTCTGGGAGGCCGAGATGAGTGGATTGCCTGAGCCTGCGGGTTTGAGGACCGACTGGGCAACTTGGCGAGACCTCATCTCTACAATAAATCAAAAAATTAGCTGGGCGTGGTTGTGCACGCCTGTATTTCCAGCTACTTGGAAGACTGAGGCGGAAGGATCGCCGGAGCCCAGCAGGTCGAGGTCGCGGTGGCCAGGAGTGGCCACTGCACTCCAGTCTGGGCAATAGAGTGAGACTTCAACTCAAAACAAAAAACATCAAACAGGACCAGATGGGCTCTTCATGTCAATTGCTGATTGACTGTCTACCTTGCTGCCTGTCTTTCTCAATCAGGTTCTATGAGAGAACTTACCCCAAGATACCTATTTTGATTTAAAAAAATCAACCTTTTTATATCTGGGCTAACATATTATGTACTGTCTTTAGGAGAATTGATAAAATAGATATTGTAATCCTTCTGTGTTCTGGTTCAGATGAGGAGCCCTTGTTGACAAAGGCTTTAACTGTAAGCTAGAAATCCCTGTCCATGAAAGCTGTCAGACAAGTCACTTAAACGAGTAACTGAAAAATGCTACTATAGTCATTGTCAAGTGCTATAGTAGCACAGAGGAATAAGTGGCTCCATGTATGCTTGTCAGGACTTGGATTAACTGATAGGACAGTTCTGCCACTGCTTTTGTTTTTTTCTGCCTCTTCCCTGGTATCTGGCTGGCAGTAGTTTCTCTGGGTACCACTCTACTTCCACTTAAAAGCCTTTTCCAGCCGGGCTTGGTGGCTCAGCCTGTAATCCCATGCCTTGGGAGGTTGAGGTGAGAGGATTGCCTGAGCTTGCGGGTTTGAGACCTGCCCGGGCAACCTGGCGAGACCTCATCTGTACAATAAATCGAAAATTAGCCTGGTGTGGTAGTGCACGCCTGTAGTTCCAGCTACTTGGAAGACTGAGGCAGAAGGATCGCCAGAGCCCAGCAGGTCGAGGCTGCAGTGGCCAGGAGCGTGCCACTGCACTCCAGTCTGGGTGACAGAGTGAGACTACAACTCAAAAAAAAAAAAAGCCTTTTCCAGCCAGGCATGGTGGCTCATGCCTGCAATCCCAGCACTTTGGGAGGCGGAGGTGGGAGGATTGCTTGAGCACAGGAGTTTGAGACCAGCCTTGGCAACATAGTGAGATCTCATTTCTAAAACAGTTTGTGGTTTTTTTTTTTGAGTTGGAGTCTCACTCTGTCGCCCAGACTGGAGTGCAGTGATCGCTTTCGGCCACTGCAGCCTCAACCTGCTGGGCTCCAGCGATCCTTCTGCCTCAGCCTTCCTAAAACAGTTTTTAAAAAAAATTAAGCCGGGCTTGGTGGCTCAGCCTGTAATCCCGCACCTCTGGGAGGCTGAGGTGAGTGGATTGACTGAGCCCGCGAGTTTGAGACCTGCCTGGGCAGTGAGACCTCATCTCTACAATAAATCAAAAAATCAGCCGGGCGTGGTAGTGCACGCCTATATTTCTGGCTACTTGGAAGGCTGAGGCGGAAGGATCACTGGAGCCCAGCAGGTTGAGGCTGCGGTGGCCGGGAGCAGCCACTGCATTCCAGTCTGGGCGACAGAGTGAGACTCCAACTCAAAAAAAAATTAGCCAGGGCTGGAAAAGATGGTTTAACTTGTAATCCCAGCACTTTGGGAGGTGGAGGTAGGAGGATTGCTTGAGACTAGCCTGGGCAACGTAGCAAGACCTCGTCTCTGTTAAAAAAAAAAAATTAGCTGGGTGTGGTTGTGTGTACCTGTAAGTCCCAGCTACTCAGGAGGATCTCTTGAGCCCAGGAGATGAAGGCTGCAGTAAGCCATGATCATGCCACGGTACTCCAGCCTGGGCAACAAGAGTGAGACCCTGACTAAAAATAAATAAAAGCCTTTTCCCTCCCTCCTAATTTATTACTAGTTTGATGCAGACTGAATCGGAAGCCAATCAATTTGGTTGTTTCTGGTTCAAATAAGGCTCTGAGGGATACCCTAAGCATTGAAATATTTGGCTACAATCAGATGCTGTTAATAAAGTCAGTCTCTGGATTTGAGATGAAGGAGAATAAAGTTTCTAGGGTAGACTTCAGATGGCATATCTAACAGCAATATTTGAAAGCAAAGCCTCTGGGTTCTAGGTCCTGGATTCTTTTTTATTTTTTGATTTTTTTGAGTTGGAGTCTCACTCAGTCGCCCAGACTGGAGTGCAGTGGCCGCTCCTGGCCACCGCAGCCTCGACCTGCTGGGCTCCGGCGATCCTTCCGCCTCAGCCTTCCGAGTAGCTGGAATTACAGGCGTGCACTACCACGCCCGGCTGATTTTTGATTTATTGTAGAGGTGAGGTCTCGCTGCCCTGGCGGGTCTCGAACCTGTGGGCTCAGTCAATCCACTCACCTCAGCCTCCCAAAGGCGCAGGATTACAGGCTGAGCCACCGAGCCCGGCTTGGATTCTTATTATCTGTGAAACTTTAGGCATGTTACATAACCTTTCTGAGCCTCAGTTTCTTCCATCTATAAAACAGATACTGTATTTACCTTCCAGGCCTGTACATGAAAACTGAGCTAATGCATATTAATTCGTAGTCCCTGATATGTGAACATGCTAATATTTTTAGCTCAAACCAAATGACATGTTATTACCATGCAAAGAGATTTCCATTAGCCAGTCAGGGGTCTTACAGGCTATTGCCTAAAACCTTTCAATCCCCTTTTTAAATTCAGTGAGGCAGTGTGTTCAGAACTAAGTACTACAAATGTCACATTAAAATCACATTAAAATGATTAAAGAGAATTAGCTGGTACAGTGGCACATGCCTGTATCCAGCACTTGGAAGGCTGAGATGGAAGGATTGCCTGAGCCCAGCAGGTTGAGGCTGTGGTAACCTTGAGTGTGCCACTGCACTTCAGCCCAGGCCACAGAGTGAGACTTGAACTCAGAAAAAAAAAAAAAAAAAAGATTTAAGGGAATATTATTAACCCAAACTGGTTTCCAGTTTATGAAAAGAGTACAGATCACACCAGGTACGGTGGCTCACGCCTGTAATCCCAGCACTTTGTAAGGCAGAGGCAAGAGGATTACCTGAGCTCAGGGGTTCGAGCCAGCCCGAGCAACATGGTGAGACCTCTCCACAAAAAGTAAAATCAGCCGGGCATGGTATCGTGTGCCTCAAAAAGATCGCCTGAGCCCAGCTGGTTGAGGATGTGGTGGCCATGAGAGTGCCACTGCACTCCAGCCTGGGCGACAGTAAGACTCTGACTCAAAAAAAAAAAAAAAGAATCAAAGACTAGAGGTGGGAAGAACACTTAGGAGGCTAAGAAGACTTAAGTTTCACAGCACTTTACACAGATAGGTCTTGCTTTCCCTATTGCCACCGATTAATGGCAGCTAATCATTCTTCTTCACACCTGTAGTTAGGAGACTTTAGTTTTAATTTGTCAAGGATCCATCCCTCCCTATTATGTTACACTGCACTACTTTGCTAGTTTTGTTATTACTCTTCCCTCTTCAGGCATTTGTGTTTTTGGCCCCTGGTATAAAATGAAAAGTTAAAGCTTCCTTTCACATTTCTACTTTCTTTTTTTTTTTTGAGTTGGAGTCTTACTCTGTCACCCAGACTGGAGTGCAGTGGCTGCTCTCGGCCACCACAGCCTCGACCTGCTGGGCTCCGGCGATCCTTCCACCTCAGCCTTCCAAGTAGCTGGAACTACAGGCGCATGCTACCACGCCCGGCTAATTTTTGTTTTATTGTAGAGATGAGGTCTCACCAAGTTGCCCAAGCGGGTCTCGAACCCGTGAGCTCAGGTAATCCTCTCACCTCGGCCTCCCAAAGTGCTGGGATTCTACTTTCTTTAAAACTAGTCATTTTGTGAATAGTTTCCTGCATGCCCTTTTTGGGAACAAAATAAAACTTAATGCATGCACCAGAATATATAAATTAGATTACACTTAAAGTACGAATACTATTACTCTAATTTTGCCTTGGAGGCCTTTCCATATCACTATATTTGACATTAGTTGTATGTTGATAAATGCTACTTATAGCATATGCAAGTAACATGATTATTTGTTTTATTATTAACAACTGTAAAATAGGCCATTGTATAATGTATTTGCCTCTTATATAGGTTGCTTCTGGGTTTTGTTTTCGGTATTTTTTTTTTTTTTGAGTTGGAATCTCACTGTGCCGCCCAGACTGGAGTGCAGTGGTCGGTCCCGGCCACCGCAGCCTCAGCCTGCTGGGCTCTGGCGATCCTTCCGCCTCAGCTTTCCAAGTAGCTGGAACTACAGGTGCGCGCTACCACGTCCGGCCAATTTTTTTGATTTATTGTAGAGATGAGATCTCGCCAAGTTGCCCAGGCGGGTCTCGAACCCGCGGGCTAAGGCAAACCACTCACCTCAGCCTCCCAAAACGTGGGATTACAGGCTGAACCACCGATCCTGGCCAGATATTTCCATAGGAACCACTGGATCAGAATGTACACTTATATTTACATTTAAAATTTTGATATAGGGCCAGGCATGATGGTTTACGCCCGTAATCCCAGCACTTTGGGAAGCTGAGGCAAGAAGATTGCTTGAGGTCAGGAGTTCGAGGCAGCAGTGAGCTATGATCGTGCTACTGCACTCCTGCCGTGGCAACAGAGCAAGGCCTTGTCTCAAAACAAAACAAAACAACAGTAAGCAAGTTAAACAATGCGCTCACATTGTAATGAAAGAGGTATAACAAATCAACAAAGTAATAAATACTAGGGAAAAACCCAACAGGATAAGGAGCTAGTGACTGGAAGGGGAGAAGAAATCTAGAATGGTTAGGAGAGGCCGCTGAGGAGATGAGCCAAGACCCAAGTGCTAAGGGGAAGACAGCCATGCAAATATTTGGAGGCAAGAAGCAGCGAACGGCAGGTGCACAGGTCCTAGAGAGGAAAAGAATTTGGCTTGTCGGAGTAGCAATCGAGGAAGCTAGTGTGGCTGCCAGGTACTGAGCGAGGAGAGCAGTTCGTCCGAGGGTAGGCAGGGACTCTACGAAGTAGGGCCTCCAAGGTGACGACGAGCAGTTCGGATACTGTTGCTGCTGCCACTGGGAGGACGCAAGCAACAGGATCCGCAGTGAACAAGGAGAGGAGTGAAGCCACTGACCCGCGGGGTGGCCGTGGGCAGGTTCCCGAGTCTCGCTAGCACTCTTTCACCCTCTAAGAATGGGTCTCTAACCCCCGCCTTAAACCGCCGGAAGGCGCCAGTCAAGGCTTCGGGGCCCGCAGGCGCGAGCTTACCTGTCCTCCAGGACGGACTCCATGGGCTCCACCCCATCCGTGTCCACGGTGTGGAGCCGGTCGGCGAAGGCGATGGCTTTCTCCAGTCGCGCCACTGCCTCGCGACTGCCGAAGTCCACAAGCGCTAGGCGCTCCAGGTGCGCGATCACCGCGGCAGTGATCCGGCCGCCTCCCTGGGGAGCGAAGAGGCGGGGAGTGTGGGCCGCGGGCGGGACCTGCTCTGCCACCCTCCTAGGTGCCCACGGCCTCTACCTGACGATCCGCCTTGGAGGTGAAGCCCCGTCGCCCGCCCAGAGGGGCCCGAAGGCCCAGCCACGCCGCGCGCGCACACATTTCTTCCTCTTTCGGCCCCCGTAGTGCGCCCACACGCAACGCCGCGCGACGCGTTCAAGTGTGATGACATCAGAGTGCGCCGCCGCCGCCGCCGCCGCCACCTTCACCATGAACAGTGTGGGGGAGGCATGTACGGACATGAAACGCGAGTACGACCAGTGCTTCAATCGCTGGTTTGCCGAGAAGTTTCTCAAGGGGGACAGCTCCGGGGACCCGTGCACCGACCTCTTCAAGCGTTACCAGCAGTGCGTTCAGGCAAGTCCAGGTCTCGCGTTCTCTGCGGTGCTCTCCGCCACACGCGTCGCATTTTGCTGGGCTGGGACAAAGGGTGGAGAAAAGCCGCGATGAGGCCCGTGGCAGGAGCCTTGTCTTCTGCCATCACCACCGAGGCCTCTTGGGTGTCTTTCCGAATGACAGTTTTGCAGTGACATCCTTTGGTTAGTTTGGTGCCCATCCTAAGCTTGCAAGGTGGGCACAATTATTCGTATTTTATACATGGAAAACTAACGCCTAGAAATAGGAAGTGATTGTCCAAGTTCACTAGAATCCGGTTTCCTTGAGTCTTTTGCAGGTGGTGCACTTTTCCACTATGTTGGGGCTGGAAGGGGGTTAGCTTTTTCTCCGGCCGGTTAGACTGTGGAGGGTACCGTTGTTTTTGTTTTAATCTCTTCGTTGGCCTGTTTATCTCTCCCATCCAGTTCCCTCAACTGCAGCAAGAAAGTTTTCATTCCGACCTAGTGGATGTGGAACTGTTTTGAAAGATAAGAACAGCAGTAGACAGGGCTCTTACATCCAATAAATTAATCTAAGACATCTCACGGTAATTCCACGAGGAAGTTCTTATCTTTATCTCACTGACAAGGACAGTGAGGCTGGCTCAAGATCATATAGCCAATAAGTCCCGGAACCTAGATTTGAACCTGTTTTTAAGATAAAAGTGGTAATACTGTTTTTCAAATTTCACTTAAATAACTGTTCCCTCACTTCTTTTCCATTTTCTCTCTGGTCTTGCACTTGATTTTATTATGGTACTTCTGTTTGCTAAAAAAAAAAAGTATGTAATTTGAATCATTGTTATGGGACTTTTTTTTTTTCTTTGAGTCGGAATCTCATCGTTGCCCAGGCTGGAGTGCGGTGGCACACTCACGGCCACCGCAGTCTCGACCTGCTGGGTTCAGGCAATCCTTCCGCCTCAGCCTTCCGAGTAGCTGGGACCTCAGTTGCACGCCAACACGCCCGGCTAATTTTTTAAATTTATTGTAGAGATGAGGTCTTGCCAAGTTCCCTGGGTTCAGGCAGTCCTCTCACCTCTCACCTCTGCCTCCCAAGTACTGGTATTACAGGTGTGAGCCACACACCCAGGTGTTGTGAGACTTTTTATATAGTTCAGTCTGATTTTACTTTAGTACCATCATATTTTATTTACCAAGCTTGGCCTCAAATTTCACGTAGATATTTATGTTTTCTCCTCCCATCAGAAAGCAATAAAGGAGAAAGAGATTCCTATTGAAGGACTGGAGTTCATGGGCCATGGCAAAGAAAAGCCGGAAAACTCTTCTTGACCTTGACAGTCACCTTGAAAATGGATTTCTCAAATCAGGAAATTGAAGACTTTGGATTTTTTTCAACTAAGGCTGTGAGGATAGCCACCAGTTTTGATGAGGAATATGGGAGAGGAGTTTTATTTCCTCCTTCTTGATGTTTTTATCTCACTTGTAAAAGGTGATGAACTCTATGCTTTGAGATCATTTCTCACTTGCTCTTGCAGAAACTCAAGTGTGCTAAAATTGAACAATTTTGGGGGATCATGGTTGCAATATTTGATCTGGGATCAGCTTTAAATATAGCTGGTATGTAAATGATAAACTAGTCAGGATGATCAAGGTTACCTGACCTCTTGATTTTTGCTGCAAAGGACACTGTATACTGGCATCATGAAATTGTTCATGAAAGCAATTGGTTAGGACCTCTTCTTTTCTCTCAGGGAGCTAATGCTCTAAAAAGGGATCTGGGCACAAGTTTCAATCAGTGCTTGGAAGCACAGTTTTATTTTTATATAGTACCTAACAGTTAAGATTGCCCGTGGCCTGGATTAGCAAAGAGGAAGACAGTTTTTAACAGACAGTTCCCTGCCTTAACAAGAGGTGTAAGATTAAGATGTGGAAGTTTCAAGAACGTTTCTGTGAACACCATTTCAGAGCTTACAGTGTAGTTCAGGAATTAAGATACTTGGAATAGCTGTGGAGAAAGAACCTAAATTTCAAAGATTTGCTCTTGTCAGCTTTCAGCCCAGGTCAGTGCTTTAAATCAACCTGCAAAATGCTGCATCTGATTAAACTGGGGAAAAAGGTGTTTGCTTTATTTGTCTTGTTTACCCATCCTGTTCTGTAATGTCTGTAATCATGAAGATGGAATAAATTTTAACATTTAGTTTCTATCATTATTTACCCCTGGAATTCAGTGCACTTTATGGAATAATTATTACCCTGTTACCCTACTTACTCGTATATACATTGGGGAGAGTTTTGTTTTATAGTTTGAAGGTGAAAAAAAGTAATTTAAGCTAGGTGGTACGGCATGGCAATTCTAAACCTCACTGATTTCTACAATTTATTTCCACAGTAGGCTATACCAGTAACTTTAAATTTATATTAGGGTACCAAAAAAATGTCAGGATCAGGAGAACGCTTAGTACTTTAGGATGTCATGTAATCCCCACAACTGCATATCTAGACTAATTTGGTTTATGTGCCCAAAAATAGTATGAAACTTAATTTACAAAAGGCTTGAATTCTATTATCCCCTCTCTACCTTACTATTTCTTTCTTTTTTTTTTTTGAGTTGGAGTCTCACTCTGTCGCCCAGACTGGAGTGCAGTGTCCGCTCCCGGCACTATTTCATATTTAATGTGACCTATTCTTAATAATATTTCATAACATTCTAGCTGGGTGTGGTGACTGATGTGAGAGGACGGCTTGTGCCCAGGGATTTGAGATCAACCTGGGCAACTTGGCAAGACCTCATCTCTACAATAAATCAAGAAATTAGCCAGGCATGGAGGTGCGTGCCTGTGGTTCCAGCCACTTGGAAGGCTGAGGCGGATCGCCTGAGCACAGCAGGTAGAGGGTGCTATGGCCATGAGGCATGCCCCTGCACTCCAGCCTGGGTGACAGCATGAGACTCCTACTCAAAAAAAAAAAATTCTAGCCAGGCATGGTGGCTCAGCCTGTAATCCTGCGCCTTTGGGAGGCTAAGGTGAGTGGATTGCCTGAGCCCGTGGGTTCGAGACCCACCTGGGCAGCGAGACCTCATCCCTACAATAAATCAAAAAATCAGCCGGGCGTGGTAACGCATGCCTGTAATTCTGGCTACTTGGAAGGCTGAGGCGGAAGGATCGCTGGAGCCCAGCAGGTCGAGACTGCGGTGTCCGGGAGCAGCCACTGCACTACAGTCTGGGCGACAGAGTGAGACTCCAACTCAAAAAAAAAAAAAAAAATTCTATATTTACATTTTCTGACTGGTTAAGGTCCATCATCCAAGCATTATAAAGGATATTTGCCACTCAGCCAAGGGAGGCCAGGCAGCAAACTGACATATATCTATCCTAAACTCAGACTGGCCACAAGCAAAATAGCTCTATAGGTACTCAAAAGTACATGCTGTTAGATCACCAAATGGCCAAGATAACAGAATTTTTTATTCCTTACTGTATGACTTTGTTTCCATGCCTTACCTTTGTATTACCAATTTAATGTAATGCACTACAAAATACCTTGTAAACTCTTAAACCTTACCACAAAACTGTCCCATTGAGCCTTGAGAATAAACCGGCTCCAAGTCAACTATGTTCTTTTATTGTAATTCATATTGACAGGTCTGTTTCACGCAAAAGCTGTCATATGCCAGCTCAGAAATTCACTTTTGAACCTTTTGGGGAAAATTGCGGAAAATTTTGAGCAAACCTCTTCAGTTTCAATTGAGGGGGTGAGAAGGACATTCTAATTTGTTCACTGCCAGAACAGATTTAAGAATCCCTGAAGTATATCTCCAGCTCAAGCATCAGGCATCTAACCCTATTAATATTACTGTCAAGTCTAAAAAGGCCAGATACTAGTAGCTGCCTTGCTTTATGGACATATCCTCCCAAAAGGAACGAATTGTTGAGATAAATTCTTTCTGAATGTTGGTCACCCTATTTTGACTTCATCCTCTCCATAAGCGGACTCCAACTACCTCAGCTACTTTGAAGGTTTTACATTTTGATGAATTGCCCTTTCTGAGTGATTTTGTAACTACTTCTACTGTTTCTCCCTCCTAATTCTTATGGCTAAGGATTATTTTAATTTCAGAAACAAATAAAGCTAATTCTCTAAGCAGAAATGTGTCACAATGCCTTTATTTCTCTGAAGATTTCTGACCCTGCTAGCCTTCAAGGTACTGAGATGCTTTGCCCCAGGTAAGAACTTGAACCTTTTGAGAAAATTACCTGACTACAGGGAAGACTGCAGGAAATGCTGGTGGAATGAGAGACAAGAAAGCTGAGACTCAGAAGAAGCACTTCTGAGTCACAGGTACCCCTTGCAGGTGTAGACGGTAGCCATTCTGCTGGCCAGTGTCTCTGACATCCAAAGTCCTTCAGGGACCTAGGCTTGATACTTAATTAACTCCACTGCTCTGTAGGCTTGCTCCCTTGGTTTTACCCACACAAGGCATAAGAAACTAAGGGACCTGTTATAAACAGTCAGTGGACGGAATTGGACCTAAAACACTGTAGACGGCAGCCTAGACCTTCACTTCAGAATTAAGAATAACATTAATGATAATTTCCTTTTTTTTTTTTTTTTTTTAAATTGGAGTCCCACTCTGTTGCCCAGGCTGGAGTGCAGTGGCAGGCTCCTGGCCATCGCAGCCTTGACCTGCTGGGCTCAGGCAATCTTTCCACCTCAGCCTTCCAAGTAGCTGGAACTACAGGTGTGCACCACCACATCTGGCTAATTTTCTTGATTTATTATAGAGACGAGGTCTTGCCAAGTTGCCCAGGCCGGTCTCGAACCCCTGGGCTCAAGCAATTCTCTTGCCCCTGACTCCCAAAGTGCTAGGATTACAGATGTGAGCCATCCTGTCTGGTCTTTTTTTTTTTTTGGTCACAGCCTTGAAATTCACATGCTAACTTCTGACAAAAAACACAACCAAACTCTCAGATCACAACCAATCTAAGTTTAAGTTATTTATTTAAGCCATCTCCTGCCACATGCGAAGGGATGGAAGATCAGTATACTGGTCATCATTTGATACAAGTAAAGAAGTCGAGCTTAAGGTCCCGTACAGGTTTCCTGGTCCACATGCAGAGTAGTGGTCCAAACCAGCGTTGTGGTCCCTGGTGCCTGGGGAGCAGTCCAGATTCCCTTTATTCATCTTCATAGCCAGTAGGGAGTGGATTCACATGAGGATTGTGGAATAGAGTATGGTTACCATCTCTCCAGGGAAAGGGCTGTGGAGTGAAGAGGGCAATTAGATAATTCAAGAAAAGAGTCCAGAAAGAGTAGTGCCATGAACTGCCATGGGTGACAGATAATATATAAAAACAAAACTGAAATTGGTCAAATATTACTGGCATATTTCAGTGTTCCCATTATTATTATCTGGGACCAGGTTTCACTGTCACCCCAGCTGAAGTGCAGTGGGACCATCATAGCTCACTGCAGCCTTAACTCCTGGGCTTAAGCAATCCTCCCGCCTCACCCTCCCAAGAAGATGGAACTACAGGAGCACACCACAACACCCAGCTAATTTTTAATTTTTTTTTTCTAGAGAGAGGATCTATGTTGCTCAAAACCTTCCCATTACTTAAGAAAGCTCTTATAACTACCAGAAGGGCCCTTCAAGTAGAAAAGTAGAAAAAGGAAGTGCAAGTTACTCGTAAGTCTCTCACTAGTACATCCAGTACTGTGTTTATGAAAGCATAATCCTCAAATCACCTGTGTCAGAATGGTAGCAATGGAGAAGGTATTTAAATGCAGATCTTGGCTGGGCAAGGTGGCTCAGCCTGTAATTCCAGCACTTTGGGAGGCTGATGCGAGTAGATTGCCTGAGTCTGCGGGTTCGAACCAGCCCGGGCAGCCTGCCAAGACCTCGTCTCTACAATAAATCAAAAATTAGCCGGGTGTGGTAGTGCGCACCTGTAGTTCCAGCTACTTGAAAGGCTGAGGCGGAAGGATCGACGGAGTCTAGCAGGTCAGCACTGGGGTGGCCCTGAGTGTGCCACAGCACTCCAGCCTGGGCGTTGGAGTGAGACTTCAACTCAAAATAAGTAAGTTAAGTAAGTAAATAAATAAATAACTTCATCCTAGACTTGAAACAATCTCTGGACTGGAAAACTGCAACCCATTCTCAATTATCTTGCACACTATTTTTGAAAAGCATTGCTCTAGGCTGGGCGCAGTGGCTCAGCCTGTAATTCCAGTGCTTTGGGAGGCCGAGGTGAGAGGATTGCCTGAGCCCAGGGGTTCGAGACCAGCCTGGGCGACTTGGTGAGACCTCATCTCTACAATAAATCACAAAAACTAGCCGGGCATGGTGGCGTGCACCTGTAGTTCCAGCTAGTTGGAAGGCTGAGGCAGAAGGATCACCTAAACCCAGCAGATTCAATGCTGCAGTGGCCATGAGCATGTCAATGCACTCCAGCCTGGACAACAGTGAGACTCCAACACAAAAAAAAAACCAAAAACATTGTTCTAGAGCAATGCTTTCCAACCCCAGGGCAACTTTGCCCCTTAAGGGAATCCTAGGCAAGATCTTAAGACATTTGGGGAGGTGGAGTGGGCAGGTACTATTGTCATCTAGTGGGTAGATGTTGCTCAACATTTTACAATGCACACGATAACTGGCCCCCCAGCCCCCAAGAATTACACAGCTCCAAATTTCAATAGTATTGAGGTTGAGAAAGCTTGCCGTCTGGCTTCTAATTCCACTGTACAAGGGTGGGAGTGGTGCTCAAAGATGCAAAAATTCTAGTCTAGGTTAAGCTTCGATGAGGCTGGGCCTACATGGGCTAGGTGATATAATTAGCTATTAAAGAACTGGAAGAGTCAGGCGCAGTGGCTCACGCCTGTAATCCCATCACTTTGGGAGGCAGAAGTGAGAGGACTGCCTGGTCATACTGAGTAATGGAAATTAAAGAACACCCTAATTTAACAGTCCTTGGTATACTGACTAAGACTGAGCATATATGTTTCTCCAAAAAAAAAGCTTCCAGGGATTCAAGACCAGCCTGGGCAACATGGCCAGACCTCATCTCTACAATAAAAAAAAATTAGCCGGGCATGGTGGTCCTTGTCTGTAGTTCCAGTTACTTGGAAAGCTGAGGTGGAAGGTCGAGGCTGCGGTGGCTGTGAGCATGCCACTGCACTCGAGCCTGGGCGACAGAGTGAGACTCCAACTCAATAATAACAATAAAAATAATAATAAAACCAGAAGAGCCCCTTGTAAAAGATACAGCAATTAGTCTCTTCAGTACCCAGCTAGTAAGTCGCTGCCAATGCCCAGGTCGTAGAAAGGTAAACTATGCAGGGTGCAGTGGCTCACACTTGCAATCCCAGCATTTTGGGAGGCAGAGGTGAGAGGATTGCCTGAGTCCGGGGGTTCGAAGCCAGCCTGGGCTTGGTGAGATCTCGTCTCTACAATAAATCAAAACATTAGCCGGGCCTGGTGGTGCATACCTGTAGTTCTAGCTACTTGGAAGGCTGAGACTGAAGGATCACCTGAACCCAGCAGGTGGAGGCTGTGAGTGTGCCACTGCACTCCAGCCTGGGCGACAGAGTTGATTCTGACCAAAAAGAAAAAAAAAGACCATTTCCAGAGTCTGTCATTCTAAAAGGGCTTCCCAAACTCTCAAGTTTTATACAAAGGAAAACTGTTTCTTAACTGTATCAGAAGGCAGGAGACGGGATAAATCGGAGAAAGGGGAAACTGAGGGCCATTTATTGTACGACCCTGAAGAAGGTGCTGAGACGTACCCCTAAGCCTCTGCTTCCCTTCCCTAAAACAGGAGAAAATTAATTTTCTGTCTGTGAGACTTAAGAAACTACACACCTCGCACCCATGCTTTTAGCACATGAACTCGGACCAGGCCATTATACAACGAAAGGAGAGCTTGAAGCCCCAAGGGCGTACGTACCTTGGTTCTGATGCGGAGATGGGGGAAGGCGATGAATTCGGGTCTTTCGTGCTCGCCGTGGTGCGACTTCAGGAACACATTCAGCATGCTCACACCCACCCCCGGGAGCGCGACGAAGTAAGTAAGGGCCTTCCACATGCGAGCTGCGGAGAGGTTACAACCGCTAGCCCCGGCATGGGGCCTGCCCGGGTCGCGTTCTCCCTCACCTCAAGCCAAGGTCACAGTCCCGCCCTGCCTCGCCCGAGCGGGGGCGAGGCCCTCCCAGCCGACCCCAGCCCCAGTACCTGAGCCCTCTTCGCCGTGGGCGCCACTAGACATGGGCCGCCTCAGCCGTGGGTGGGACTGAGCCAACAGCCTAGAAACCCGAAACGCAGCTGGCGACGCCATTTTCCTCCTGGACCCCTACGACGCCGGAAGCGGAAGTAGAAAAGGCGCTATGAGGGCGGGAACATAGCTTCAGGAGGAAGTTCCTATTGGGCGACGCTTTTCCACGGGTATTATGAACTTGCTCACTATCGTCCCGGCCGACCGAGTCCTTCTCAAAAAGTCCTCCGAGTCCGGAGCTAAAGAGAGCATGCGCTCTGCACCACTCTTCATGCTTGGCCTTTCCCTTTGTGCGCATGCGTGGGCCCTGCGCTCAGTCCCCGCCATCCCCACCTTGGTGAGAGGTAAATCCGGGTGAGGTTCTGCTAGGCTCCCTTGCGCTTGGCATTGCTGCCTTCGTTGCAGTCCGCGGACGGCATTTGGAGGTTCCGAATGCAAACCACTCTATCCACAATGCCATTCGCCTGCCTCGCCACCCTCTGACTCTGCGGGGTTTTTTTTTTCATGGCACCTAGCGTCGTATCTTCGTCATTATTATTATTTTGCCTGTTTCCCCCACTAGAATATACATTCTGTCATGCCAAGAGTTTGCTGTTGCAGCGTTCTCAGAGACATCTGGGAAGGGCCTAATCCAGAATCGTGCCTGGCACGTAGCAGGTACTTAATACAAATTGGCAGAATGAATACCTGAATGAATAATAACGGGATCTAGAAAGAGCACTGGAATCGGTGCCAGATCTGGATTCCAGCTCGACATCCTCAATCTTTGGCACGTTGGGAGGCCGAGGCAAGTGGACTGCCTGAGCCCGCGGATTTGAAACCCACCCGGGCAACTTGGGAGACCTCGTCTCTACAGAAAAATTAGCCGGGCGTAGTAGCGCGCACCTGTAGTTCTGGCTACTTGGAAGGCTGAGGCGAAGGATCGCTGGTCCTTCGCTGCGGTGGCCGGGAGTTTGCCACTTTACTCCAGTCTGGGCGACGGAGCGAGTCTCCAACTCAAAAAAATAAAATAAAAATTGGCATCTTAAATTTTGTCTGTACAGTTCTTCCCGTCTCATTTTAAAAAGCGGTTTAAAAAATAAAAGTTAAAAAAATGTATAAGATTAAATGACAGTAAACCTTTTTTTATTATCGCCCCTTCAAAAATATAATGAAAGATTTGAAATATTTTCCGAAAAAATGCACCTGCACGTAAACACACAGTTTAGCAGACATTGTTGGGGGATGAAATGGCCATAAAGTACATCCAGAGACCCCCCTGAGAATCCCTCGTGCCCCAGATTAAGCAGTCCCGGGTAGAAGAACAAACAGGGACTCTGTTGTGAGAAGACTAGGCTCACATCTTATTCTCTTAGAGCCTGTGTGGCCTTGGACAAGTTAGCTGAGACGATGCTTTAAGGTCATGCAGTTTCATGCAGACAAAAATTTAGGATCATATTACTAGAGCTTTACACTCTGATCTAGCATTAAATCTTTCTCAGAGAAACCTGAGGTTTTACATTTCATGGTGCAATTAGGATCACCAAATCCCTCAAACACAGCCAAAGGGTGTATGAGGCCCCACAGTGTGGTCATTGAAAGGGTCCACACTCTGGGACCATGAGATCCTGGGTTCAGATCTCTGGTTTGCCACCAGCTATGCTTCTTCTTCTCCAAAAGAGGAATGTGATGTGCATTTATTCATTCCTTCATCCAACAAATATTTATTAAAACCAAACTCTACTTTTGGAAGTTAGTCAACTTCCATCTGCATTGATGAGACTTCATTTAATAAATATTATCACAGTAGTCCACAAGAACTAAAAGCTATCTGCCTCATGCAGCTTACAGTCTAGTGGGAGAGACAATTTAAATGAAAAATACCCAGCCGGGCTCAGTGGCTCAGCCTGTAATCCTGCGCCTTTGGGAGGCTGAGGTGAGTGGATTGCCTGAGCCCGCGGGTTCGAGACCTGCCTGGGCAGCAAGACCTCATCTCTACAATAAATTGAAAAATCAGCCAGGCGTGGTAGCGCATGCCTGTAATTCCGCCTACTTGGAAGGTTGAGGCGGAAGGATCGCCGGAGCCCAGCAGGTCAAGGCTGCAGTGGCCGGGAGCAGCCACTGCACTCCAGTCTAGGCGACAGAGTGAGACTCCAACTCAAAAATAAATAAATAAATGAAAAATACCCAATTCCTGAAATATGTTTTTTTAAATAATTAAACAAAAGTTGAATTTCTTTTTTTTTTTTTTTTTGAGCTGGAGTCTCCCTCTGTTACCCAGGCTGGAGTGCAGTGGCACACTCATAGCTACTGCAGCCTCAACCTGCTGGGCTCTGGCAATCCTTTCACCTCAGCCTTCCAAGTAGCCGGAGCCACAGATGCATACCACCATGCCTTAGCTGGAACCACAGATGTATACCACCATGCCTGGCTAATTTTTTTTTTTTTTGAGTTGGAGTCTCACTCTGTCGCCCAGA